ACTGACAAACGTATCCCAGGAAGGACCCGAGCTCCCCAAAGAGAAGCCTCGAGCTCCCCAAAGAGAAGCCTCGAGCTCCCCAAAAAGCCCGACCCCTTTGCAAAATTTTTAATTCCCGGGATCCATCCGAGCAGAGAGTGTGACACTGTACCTTGTAGCCGGGGGAGAGTCCTCTCTTGTCAGGCATTGTTTGATCATTAAGGGCTGAGAGGTTAAGTGTAAGGCCATTTAGGGCTTTTATACCTGATGGGCTAATCTCAGTTAAGACCATTGTCATTGGGCCTTCATAAGATGGCCAGACTCAAGGACAATTTAGTGTAAATGTTGGGCCCATTAAGGGCCCATACTGATGGACTCAGGGGTTCATTGTGTTTAGTAGTGAATTCGGCCAGGCTTTGTCATAGAAGTTAGGCTGAACCCATATGGCTTTTGTGAAGTCAATGTTAGGGTCCCACACCATACAGAGAGAGCCAAGTTAGCCAGCAATTAATAAAGGGACGTGAGCCACCTACTTAATGGGCCTAAAGCCCAAAGATTAACTGGATTAATTATCTTAGGCGAATTTGGATATGGATATGGTTTTGGATCAGCAGATAAGGATARGAGGATAAGTCTTATCCACTTAAAGAGTTTAGATCCAAATAAAGATTTGGATTAGGAAACTCCTAATTAGATTAGGAGATCAGCTCTTTAAGATCTATATAAATAGATGAGGGAGAAATGCTCCAAGTTTACTCATTACTCTTAGTTCTCCCTCTCTCCTTTTGCTCTTGTCGCCCTAACCCAAATTTGACATCCATTCTTGAACTGATAGAGGTCAGTTCTGATTTTTGCAATTGTTGCTGAAGGACTGCATTGCTAAACCTGCTTCATCTCAAGCTGCTTCATTTTCAGTGGAAGTGGGTTTTGGTACCCTCTTTGGGCGTAAACACCTACTTTGGGAGCTACATGTGCGGATTCCGTATCAGGTATTGCTCTCTCTTTCTTGTGGTTTCAGATCTGGTCCGCTTTAGATCAAGAATGATCCTTGAAATATGCAGTTTTTCTAAAATTGGGAATACGATTCCCAGAAGGGAGAAAAGAAATTTTTGAAATTTCGCCCAGCCACCCTACATGGTTCGGCCATCCATATGATGGATTTCCCCTTCCTTCAGAATTGCCTGAGGGTAACCATTCGGTCGGAGAGTCTCTGAGTTTCTTTGATCGACCGAGGTGGTGTCATGTCCAATATGGCCTGAATCTTCTCTAGGTTGCCCTCAATGCCCCGTTGTGTGACAACGAAGCCTAGTAATTTGCTTGAGGTGACACCGAAAGCACACTTGTTGGGATTAGGCTTCATGTTGTACTTTCGCAAAGTGGAAAAGGTCTCGGCAAGGTCCGAGGTATGTTAGCCAGCCTTCAAGCTTTTCACTACCATGTCATCTATGTAGGCTTCGATGTTTCTCCTCATCTGGAGGTTGAAAACCTTGTTTACAAGTCCTTGGTAGGTGGCTCAGGCATTCTTAAGGCCAAAAGTCATAACTTTTTAGTAGTAGGTGCCATGCTTGGTGATGAAAGAGGTCTTCTTATCCTCGGGGTGCATCTTTATCTAGTTGTATCCAGAGAAGGCATCCATGAAGATGAGTAGCTCACACCCTGTGGTGGCATCAACAAGGTGGTCAATCCTCGGTAAAGGAAAGTTGTCTTTGAGGCAGGTTTGGTTGAGGTCTATGAAGTTAATACAGATTTACCATTTCCCATTAGCCTTCTTTACCATAACCACATTAGACAACCAGGTAGGGTAGTGTACCTCTCAAATGGATCTGGCGTCATGTAGCTTGTCAGCTTCCTCTCCGATGGCTTTCCAACGTCCCGGTGCAAAGTTCCTCTTTTTTTGTCGAACTGGCCTAGAGCTCGAGTCCACGCTCAACCAGTATGTAATGAACGAAGGGTTAATTCTGGGCATGTCAGCGGTAGACCAAGCAAAGACATCGTCATTAGTCTTGAGGAAACTTACCAGTTCGAAAAGGGTGTCAGGAGGAAGGTTGGACTCAACGTGCATTGTCTTCTCGAGCTCGTCCTTATCTAGGGGAACCGAGACGAGGTCCTCGACTCGCTAGCTCATCCTTGAGGTTGAGCCCTTCAACAGCAAAGCTTCTTTGTTCTTGCCCTTCAGCGCAGCCACATAACATTGTTGGGTGGCTTGCTGGTTCCCACGAATGACTTCGATGCCGTGCTCGGTGGGAACTAAATGGCGAGGTGGTAGGAGGAGATGGCTACCTTAAGTGCATGGAGAGTCGGCCTCATGATGTAGCATTGTATGGGGGAGCCGATCCTCACAACTAGGAATTTAGTCATCCTCGTCACTTGCCGAGACTCTGTCCCTACTGTGAGGGGTAGGGTGATTTTTCCCTCCGGTCTAACAACACTCCCGGGTAAGCCGACAAGTAGCACGTCGGCTGGCTGAAGGCACTTTAGTGCCAGTTTCATCTTCTTGAAAGCGTCGTAGAAGAGGATGTCTACTGATGAGCCATTGTCGACAAGTATCCTCTTCACTCTAGATAATTGGCGATGGTCATCGACACCACCAATGCATAGTCATGGGGGACCGATACCCCCTTTAGGTCCTTGTCTGTGAAGGTGAGGGCCTCATTTTGCTTTGGCTTTTTGGGAGCCGATCCCTAGATGTTGAGATGCCTGGTGTAGGCCTTATGGGTTGAGGTTTGAGGCACCACCTGAGGCCGAGCCCCTGGCGATGACGTCAATGACTCCAGCCAATTGCTGTAGTTGTTGCTGCTATGAGGATGAGGTGTTGGCATTACGTCCCATGTATTCCTTCAGATGACCACGACGGATGAGGGACTCAATCTCATTCTTGAGGTCATAGCAGTCCTCGGTGTCATGGCCGGTGCTACGGTGGTACTTGTAGTATTTTTTCGGGTTACCCTTCTTGGGGTTCCTCTTCATCTTCTCCAGCCACTTCATGTACTCCTCTTTCATTACTTGCATGAGGATTTGCGTTCAGGTGGAGTTGAGTAGCGTATACTTGTTGTATGTCAAGGCTGGCGGGTTCTTGTTGCCATCTTTGTTGTTGTTTTTGTTGTTGCCACGACCGTCTCCATTCTTCCTCTTCTTTTCTGAGCTCCCACAGTTGTGGTTGGCCTCTCCCTCTTGGCTCCCGTTGACCGAGGCCTCCTCAGCGGCGATGTACTTTTGAGCTTTCTTTAAGAATTCTGCATTGGTTTTGGGCGGTGTCTTGGCAATGGAGCACTTGAGGACCGACCCCGACAGGAGGCCGTTGATAGCTGCTTACATGGAGACCATGGGCGGTGTCTTGGCAATGGAGCACTTGAGGACCGAGGCCTCCTCGACAGGAAGAATTCTCCATTCTTCCACTTCTTTTCTCAGACCTCCAGCTCTTCTTTCTTGAAGCGATCGATGTATGATGGCAGACTCTCACTATGTTTCTACTGGACGGACATGAGTGAGATAACACTCTTCTAGCACCATCGACTGTTGATGAAATGGGCGGGGAAAAGACTTGTGAACTGCTCTCACGAGCTGATGGAGAGAGATGGGAGACGGAGAACCATTGACGGGCTGCCCCCTTGAAGGTCACTTGGAAAGTTCAGCATGTTAAGGCATCGAAATATCCATAAAGGAGCATGAGCGCTCGGATGATTTCCAGGTGGTTATCTGGATTAGTGGTTCCGTTGTACATTTCCAAGGTGGGGGCTTTGAAGTGGGGCAGGAGGGGCTCTGAGGTGATGGCGTCGGTGAAGGTGTCCATCTTATTGGACGAGGGATTCTAGCTTGTAGAGGCATGACCTCAGCCCTCCTTAACCTGTCAAATTTCGTCTTGCATGGCGCCGATCTGCGCCTCAAGGTCAACAATTCTACGATCAACGGGGGCTTGGGCCTCGTCTTGGTTCTCTCGAACGCAGAACGGGTTGGCCCAATTCCCTAAGTACTCTAATGCGGCACGTCTTGAATCTTTTTGTCCCGTCGGTCAATGAGGAGTTCTTGGAGGTTTGATACTTGAGAGGGAGAGGCACGATGTCAGCCCCTAGCCCTTGGAGGAGGACTGTAGTGGACAGAGTGCCCACTGTCGTCTCGGGGGCTGTCCATGCAGTAGTGTCTTTCATGGTCCTGGTGGTCATCGTGGGATCTTGTAGAGTCTCTTCCCCGTCAGTTGGGAGGCAGGAGGTCCTTGACGGATAACTACCACGTCGGCTACTGTTGTTGGACCCTAAGGGGTCGGTCCGGTTGGGTCTGACTGGGTGTTGAACTAGTGGAGCTTGGGAAGAGCGTCCGTTGTGGTGCCCTAGGTTCCCAGTAGGGCGACCCCCCTGTGGGAGGACTCTTGTCGATCACCCTACCTCGTCCAATCTTTGTGTTATGTTGTCGAGCCGGTCGAGGACCATCCGAAATTGGTCCATGGTGACAAGGTTATGAGTATTTTGATTGTTGTCTTGGTTATCAACCATTATGTTGGAAGCTTAGTAGTTGGTTCTTAGAGTAAGTGAGTGAGGGAAGTCTTTAGCAATCATTTCCCATAGACGGTGCCAATTGTTGCTGCCTGGAATGGGTTGAGGGCAGCAATGTAATTTTGCTTCCATTAGTCAGGGTTTGTCGTGATTAAGGGCTGATAGGGCTGAGGACTTGTAGATCTGACCTGTAGGGGAGAAAATTCGTTAGTGGCCCCAAGTGTTATCTTAGGGGCGAAGACTCCAACAGTCAAGTTAGTAAAAGCGTAGCAAAGGAGTCGGATGAGACTTGAGTAGAAATAGCTTAGACATGCTCACCAAGGAACTAGAAAGCTTAGAGCAATAAATGCCAAAATAGCTTACCAAAAGAGTGACGCCACTTATTTATACTTGAGCCTGCCACCATTTAATTACGGACGGCCAGGATGCAATTCCTCAATTATTGGCTTATTGGTTGGCTTTTTTCTTTTTTTATGAAAATGAATTGGTTGGCTTATTGGTTCTAATACCGAATGGATCATCTATATAAGAAAGTAAATGCATGGATAGAAAACAGTCCAGGCGGGCAGTGGATGATGGGAAGCAGTTCAGTACTTTCTGCTGTTGTTAAGAGGTATATTATATTATACTCAATTGCTCATTTATACCAAGCTTAGTTCAGCACAGCTTTTATAATTTCTTCATATTCTTCAATTCTCGGTCGATCAGTATATATTAATAACAAAATTGTTTTCGACTTTCCTCTAGATTGGAAGGTAAGGTAGCTCTGATTACTGGTGGAGCCAGCGGCATAGGGGAGTCCACGGTCAGACTATTCTGCCGCCACGGCGCCAAAGTAGTTATTGCCGACGTCCAAGATGATCTGGGGCACTCGGTCTGCAACGACATCGGCTCCAAAGCAGCGTCCTTTGTCCACTGCGACGTCACAAATGAATCACACATTCGGAAAGCCGTTGATACCACTGTAGCCAAGTACGGTAAGCTGGATATCATGTTCAACAACGCCGGCATCGTTGGAACGCCCAACCCTAACATCCTGGACAATGACAAGGGCGAGTTCGAGCAGGTCCTCGCCGTGAATATAACAGGCCCCTTCTTGGGCACCAAACATGCAGCCCGTGTAATGATCCCGGCCCGGCGCGGCAGCATAATCAGCACAGCCAGTGTTTGTTCTCTCGTCGGAGGCGTTGCATCACATGCCTATACGTGTTCAAAGCATGCCGTGGTGGGGCTCACGAAGAACGCGGCGGTAGAGCTGGGGAAGTTCGGCGTTCGAGTTAATTGTGTTTCACCGTACCTGGTTGTGACGCCATTGACAAAGAAGTTCTTCAATCTGGACGAAAATGGATCACCAGGTATTTACTCCAACCTTAAGGGACGGATGCTTTGGCCGGAAGATGTTGCTGAAGCTGTTCTGTATCTAGGGAGTGATGATTCCCTGTACGTTAGTGGACACAATCTTGTGGTTGATGGAGGTTTTACCATCGTGAATCCTGCTTTCGGCATAATTTGATGATCAATTTAATTAGAAGTGGGTTTCCTTCAATTTCAATCTGTTTTATGCTTGATCAATTATGATGTAACGATCTCTTTTACCGAAAAATATGATGTAACATCTTGTGTGTCTTGTCCATTTTTCAACAGTGTGAGCTTGTCGATCTTACTTTGTTGTGTGTCTTGTGAGGCACGTCTGAAGATACTGTCTTTAGAACGCTATTTGCCCCCACTCAGTTTCATTGAGTTTGCTATTGAGTTACAGGAAAATTCGTTCCTAAGATACAACAGACCTTTGGGCGAGAATCTGCCACCAGCAAAGTTGAAGAGTCTCCAAAGAAACCTTCTGTGGGATTGTAGCAGACCAGACTGAGAGAGAGAGAGAGAGAGTGAATTTCGAAATTGTATGTTTTAGAGTCTGATTCATGCTCCTTAAATATTTTATGAAGAGGTATGAAGAAAAGGTAGGTGTTGGTTCAGAGAAGGCACTTTGAACAGTCACAATTTCAAACATTGTGACCGTTTAAAAAGTAGTTAACAGTTAATGACTGTTAACTTTGAATCGTGCCTCTCGATCACACCTGATCGAATCGTGACCGTTGATCTCATCCACGGTGATCAACGATTAGCATCGCACCAAAACCAAAGCCGCCCTTTGCGAGCACTGATGTGGTCTAGAGCAATGGCTTTTTCTAGAAAAAATGATGCCAAATAAGATGTCATTTTTTGAAGCACCACTTTTTCTGGCATGGCACTGATGTGGCACTGTTTTCTCAAAAAAAATGACACTGATGCCAAACACACCGCCATGATTTAGAAGAGAAGTTGGTGGAATAAGATAATAACATGCATTGGTAGATGAGATGGAAGTAGAAGAGGAGTTGGAATTATATTGGATGCTACAAATTTGGTCCTCACACCATCCTTGCAACCTTTCTGTACATTGGGAACATCTTCTCATAAATGAAAATATACAAGTATAGAGATGTTCTCAATGCACGGCTGCAAGTATTGTGAGAATGGTGTGAGGGCCGATTTTGTGAGGGCAAAATCAGATATTGGACAGATCAGAGAGTTTTTTGGTACTAGTTTTGGGGTGTTTAGTGAGTTGTTTTTGTTGGTTCCAAGTTATTGGTCTTGGTATCTTAGTGGTATTTTGTGTTATGTAGCATGATGCTTTATATCCTTTATCTTCTTTCAATATATTCTTTATTTATCTTAAAAAAAATATATTGTAGATGTGTCCAAATGTTGTACAAAAATTTGCATTCTTTTGTAATTCTTTTCATTTTTATCATTTTAAATTTTTATTATATAATTATAGCATCAAGGGTTGACACATTTGATCCAAAGGGTTGAACTATTAACCCAACACCAAACAGAAAAACAATTACATTTTGGGCCAGTTTTAAATTTTGTATTTTAATTCGGTCATCAATAACGATAGTTTGTTTTTATCATATTTAATATGATTAATATAAAATGTTATAGATGTGTCCAATGGTTTTGTATAAAATTTATGTGTGTTTTGTATTTTTATAATTCTTAAATTTTCTTATTTAATTATGACATTAAAGGTAAATACATTTGACTTAAAAGGTAGAATTGTTGATCTGCCACCAAACAAGAAAATAATTTCATTTTGGGTTAGATTTAAATTTTTTATTCATACTTATTTTTCTTTAATATGATTAATATAAAATATTAGATATGTGCCTTTCTACAAATTTTTAAGTATGTTGTATTTTTTTGTTAGATGTGATGAACATATAATATTAATTTTTTATTATCATAATTTTTTCATTTTAATCTTTCTAATTTTTATTATTTAGTTATGATATCAAGGGTTGACACATTTTTTAATTAACAACAAATTTACTGATGAAAGTTAATTAATATTAATTTTCAGTTTACTATGGATTTACTAATTTTCAATTATTATAAATTAACAATAGAAAATTTACTAATATGCAAAAGTTAATTAACAGTAATTAACAATAAATTTAATAAATACAGTACATATCAACTATATTTACTAGAAAATTTTAATGAATAAAATTACCAATATATTAATGATAAATATTAAAAGTAAATTAATAGAAACTTAACAGTAGAGTATTCAAAGTTAATTATTAATAGTAAACTTCAGTTAATTTACAGAAAATTGTTAAATACTAAAAGTTACTTATTCAAGGAAAATTCGTTGGTAGTTAACAGCAAATTATTAGAATTTGAATGTTTGATATAAATAATATTAATACATTATCATTAATTAGGGCTACAACTTTGGCTGGACTAACCTCGAGCCAATCTGATCCAAACCGAGTTTTTACATGAATTGGGCATGAGTTCTTGGGGTTTGGACTGGGCCTAAATTAATGATGGCGGGTTGGGCTTGGATTGAGGCCTCAAATACTACAAGTCCACTGAACAAATATTTATAATTTATGATTTTTCAATCCATTTTACTCTTAAATTGAACTATAAAGCCCAACGGATGATGATTATGCAAAAATATATTAATATATTAATATATAAATTACCCACGTTCATTTAGTAAAATGCAAGTTGTATTGGAGTTGTATAAAATCTTGGGTTGGGCTCTAATTGATTTTATTTATTTGGGAATGTCATAGGCTCTTCTCCTTTAATTTTACTTAACAGAGCGTGTGCATTGCCCAGGACCCCGCTAGTTTCAATATATATCAATAATTCAATTTTCTAATGAAGTCTTCAAGAAAAGTAGGTTGGAATTTGGCTATATTAACGATCGATCACGAGAAAAGTAGGTGGGAAAATAGCGTCATTGTTGCATTATTAGTTTATTACCCAAAAAATTATTCCTGACATTTTGTTTTTTCCTAAGACTAAGACTAGTGTTTCACCTCACGCTAAAATTTATCTACATGTGCATGTCAGCATGTGTATAAAATATGCGTATATTTGTACATATTTTAATAAAATTTGTAAACTATTCCAATACATTTTGAAACTTGAGTATAAAATCCAACAGATGCTGGTCATGCAAAATTATATTCATAAGTACTTTCTAACTAAACCAACCCACTTCGGCCCAACTGAACTTAGCTATCTGAGTTTACATCTCCGCCCCATAAGAAGACACCCAACAATGTTTCATAGCACATTCTTGCTGTGTATTGGGAATATCTCCCGATGATGATATTATTGAGGTTGGTATTATTATCGGGAAATATTCTCAATACACGACGGAGATGTACTGTGAGGTATTGTGGGGCAGACTCGCTTGATCCTACTTTTGTTCAAATTTATTTGGGTTAAGTTCATGTCATAAAAACCAGTTTTGACTTTGATTGGTCTGGATTTGAATCTAAGGTTTACTTCTTAGGGTTGGACCTAACTAGGTTGATCTTCAACCCGATTCAAGTCACCCAAGTTGCACTTAATTAATATTATTATTAATGTATAAATAAATTAGCTACTATCAATAAAAGTGTAAGCTATATCTGTTATACAAACCAAAAAATCTTGGGTTAGGCTCCAATTGGCTTGATTTAAATGGGAATTTCATTGCTAGGATTCTTTTCCTTTAATTCTATATTAATAATAGAATTTTTTCATGATTGTAGATATGTTCGTACTTTTTAGGATTGATGTGAAAAGGAATCTGCTTTTTGAAACCTTTTCTTATGATGCCTATATTCATGGTCACGAGAAAAGTAGGTGGAGAAGATGATAACAACTTTTTGTTTTTGCATTTTTCACGCTAAAATTTAGCTACAACATGTATTGGAGAATGGAGATAATGTAACGGCATCTCAAATGATTTCCTACTTCCATGATAACGAGTGGGACCAAAATAATTCCCTACCATGTTTCAGCTTGTTGTTTTATTAACTCTCTTTTGCTATTGATTAAAATAAATGCATTTGAAGAGGAAGTTTTTTGGGAGGACTTGTGGTGAGGGGATTGTAAGATTGTCCACTTTCAAAAGCAAAACATATAGCTAAAATGGCAAGGAGAAATGAATGGGATGGCTTGGAATATGAAGTGGGTAGTTTTTTTGTTTTTTTATTTTTTTTATATTCACTCTGAGCACTAACAAGTTCTCCATATCATTATTCTCATGACAGTTCAACCCAGGGTAAGAATTTATAGGTACAAAATACAGTTGGGGTAGGTGCCACTCAGAATTGATGCCAATTCACGGGCGGGTATTGATGCATAGAGTGAGGGTAATTGACCTTTTGAAATGTTATAGATCTGCAGTAGAAATCAGAATTCTGCAATGGGCCTATCCGTACTTCTCCGGTTCTTTGTATTGCAAGAAAAGTTGCCTGCAATATTAGAGGTGGACTTTTCAAGTAAGGCTACAGATATCCCAAATAAAGTCTACCCTGTTAAGAATTTGCTTATTTGGATCACTAATCAACTCCACTTAACAAGGCCTTTATCCCAATCATATGGCGTTTTGGCTACACAAAATCCTTTTTCTCCGTTACCAAGGACAGATATTCTGTTGCAACACATCACTTCTGGATTGTTGCTAAAAAAAATGCATCGTTGGAGAATTATTTATTTTAGTTCTATGTTTGGTGGTAATAGTACTTTACAAGTTCTGGATTTACTTGGATGTGGACTTGTGTCATTTCTGTCATGACAAAACCTTGGTCAATTTTGTTTTTGACAGGGAGTTTGATGGACTTTTACAACGGATTCCTAACATTTTCTATGAAGATGATATGGAAGATCTAGGTTTGGGCTCTCTACTCATTATTATGTATGGAATAAAAAAGATCTGGATGGATCTAACTTCAAGGTGAACCACTAACATCGTCTTAGCAAAACTTGCAGCTTTTCATGCTGCTGGTGTGACCTACCACTTGATGGTCCCACATAGAAGATGTCCTCTAAGTGTTGATTTGATTTGGTGGTTGAACCATGCATCCATTACATTTCATTTTACTGTATGAGGATTGATGGTTTAGGAAAGGCCTTTCCTTCCATGTTTATGGTGTTGCATTTTGTGTTCAACCTCTAACCATTTTCCCCTGCATGTGCACCAAATATAGCTCTTGGTGGTATGCTTGAATTGAATTTAGGTTTCTCCTTCACCTATTTTGCCTTTAACATCCTTAACTAAATTATTGTTCAAGATGATCCTTCTGCTTCAAATGGAAACAAAGATCCACTATGTTTTGAGGGCATGACTGACACTGAGGTTCAAAGGCGATTAAAGGTAGTATTATTGCTGCTTTTTCAACCTGCTCTCTCCCTCTCTCTCTCTCTCTCTCTCACTCCACATACACACACAAGCACACGCCTTTCTTTGGAGAAGATATATAGGGACAGATATCGCAGTCCTGGATAGAAAAAACAAGGATATAAGAGGTCCTTGCTTGGCTTGTCAAGATTTTATGGGTAGAGGGATAATGATGTAGGTATATCCTTGGAAATTCATATCTTTTACCTTAATTGTACTTTGAGAGTAAATTAGAGTAAAGAGAAACTTGTTGATGAAGAATACTAATTACAAAAACTATTGATGTTCTGTAGGCACATCAAGTAGATCACTGAATGAGGATAAACCATTCAATGTCAAATTACCATTCATTCTCAGGTAGGTAGCTTTTGAACTAAACATGATTGTATGTGTAAATGATGTCTATATTTGGAAAAATTTGCAGTCCAAATTTGTAAATTTGTTGTAGAAATTTGAGGTTACCTTGAATCCTAAAAAAATCAGATTGTGCATGGCTGTATTTCTTGGGTTAAATCACAAATTCAAGAGTGAGAATGATGCAAAACAAGCCGTTGATAAAAATTTCAGTCTGTCATACTTCCGTTTTGGATGAAACTTGAAGAGACCTCAAAAGAAACACCAGTTTTTTTTTATCAACAACAAAACACATTGCATTCAATTAAGAGAAAAAAACTCCCTATTACTCAAAATATTGGGTGGTAATCAAGAGGAACAAGTCTATCATTGACTTCATCATTCAGTTAAAGAGAGAAAACTTTACACACACAATCCCAACCCAGGTATTCGATCTCCATTCAATACTCTCCCATGTTGCCCCTGCTTTTGCTAAGGCATCAGCCATGATATTAACAGTACGAAGCATCCACTTGAGTAAGCTATTCAAAATATTGCCACTGCTTGCACCTGTCTGAACAAAGGCCTATAAGCCCAAGGAATTTTTCTTCACGTCTCATCCATGATGTCACTATTCGACAATCTCTCTTTACTATTCTATCCATCCATCCTTGCATGGAGACCAGCTATAGGCCTTGGATAAGAGCTTGAAGCTCTGCCTTTATAGAATTGTTTTGCTCAATTGGGATTGAAAAGCTAAGGCAAATATTGCTGTTACTATCTCTCAATGCTCCTGCAACTCCTGAATCCCCTAGGTTTCCTAGGCTGCACTCAAGTTTCTTAACAATGTTCTTTGAAAGACAAATTAAGAATGTATTAAAGAGGAAGAGTTTCCTCAAAAATCAACATGTACACCCTTTCTAGGGATTTAAGATGTATAGTGATATTATCATACATAAATACAAACATAACTCATTACCCTTGTAAGTATACATCTATTTGCACATCACAGACTCAAAATGAACACATTGTCCCCAATGATTTAACTTGGTGATTATTCAAATCTTGATTCTTTTGGTAAGAGCAGGGATGTTCACTTTGTGGATTGTGTTTTTCTCTCATGTGGTCTTGAATTCTTGGTCAAAGGAAACAATGAAAAGTCATTGCTAAGTAGCATTTCCAGTTCTAGGGAAGTAAACACAAGTGACTTCTAGGGATAGGGATTTGAGGAAATTATTCCAATAACAGTCATCTTTATTAAAAACATTAAATATGTATGAAGATTACAACCCATAGGGGACCTTAAATAAGGATTCTAACTCCTAAAACAATTCCAGTAACACTTCACTAATCCTATTAAAATCAACTTAATGTAAAAAAGCAGAAATTAGTAAAAATAATAATTTACAAATCTGTCAACCCCCTACCCCAAACCTAATGGAGTCAGGCTGGGAATATTGACAAAAAATATGTCAAGAGCCACCAACTCCAAATCTGCCAACCTTCCTATTAATAGTTATACTTGGAACATTGAAGTAAAATCATTTCCAACATAGAAATAACTTTAAATCAACTTCATATTTAAGATGTCAAATATTTATATCTAAGAAAACTTATAATCAACATAAAAGGATTTCTTGTTCAGTAGCTTCAATATTCGACAACAACTCAGCTGCCACAAGTATTTCTAAGCATTGATATAAAGCATAATTTCCTTGTTTCAATATACTATTCTGATACTTTTGTTTTTATTTTGTCAAAATTGTGTTCAGCATAGTCAATGGTGTATGGGAACAATTAAGAGATATTTGAAGCTAAGAGAAATTCAGATAGTTCGAACTATGGGAAATGTTTAAAGAACAATGAAGAGATCATGTGTCCTAATTAAACTAATAAGACTACATCTCAGTTCTAGTTGTGAAGGATTTATCTTATTTGTACAAGGCTAATTTTACATGATTCTAAGTTGTATCTTTAATCTTGAGATTACATGTTGAATTTTTTATTTTACTTTTGTTTTCTTATAGTCAAGAACTCCTGTCTTACCAAAAAAAATAAAAAATAAAAAAATCCCTTCTAGCTAAGCTAAATAACAAGATGGAAAACAAAGCTTATTCGTGCCACGTGGGAAACCATTGGCCGGCATAGGTCACGTTTTTCTTCTTCTTCTTCTTCCACCTACTCTTTCTTCTTCCGTTGTCTCCTCCCCCATATCCTCTTTCCTCTTCTTCCACCACCTCATCTGCCTCCTGCTTTGTCTTCCTCCACCTCGTTTCTCTTCTTCACTCTTCCACGTTTTACTATTTTTTTTTTCATTTCCATAGGTGCAAATACATCTATTGACGGTTGGCGGCATCACAATAGCAATCAATTCCAAGTCTGTGCTTGGAGGTACAACTCACATTACACCATCTGGTTTTTTAGGGTTTACTTGTGATTCATCCTCCATTTTACCTATGAATGTTTGTTTCATTTTATACAGTTTCAGTGATAGGATTTGTTCTATTTCACCATATGCTTTGTTAGGGTTTACTTGTGATTCGTCCTCCATTTTACTTGTGAATGTTCATTTCATTTTCTAGGGTTTCAATTACGAGATTCATTCCATTTTCTTACGGTTTAATTTGTGCTTTGTAATGTATAATTTCAACTTCTACTATTTCTTTTGGGTAGACATTAATTCCTACTGATCAATCGGTTGGGAAAATCTTCGTATGTACTTTTGTTTGGAAATGTATGGATCCATTACTCTTGTTTAGTGTCTATAATGCAAACAATCTCTTGATACATTTGATTGGAAGTCAGTTCCTGATGAACAATAGATATTGGGTTTTGTTTTGGAATATGTCTGTAACATTGGAGACAAAACAAACCATTATTATTGTTTATTTTTTTAATGAAAGCAAGAAGATGGTAGTGTTTAATTGCATGAATTTTCTTTTCACTAATCCTCTGAATGGTTTTGGTTAATAGTTGAATTACTTCTAACTATCATGTAAATCTTTTTTTTTATATAATCATCAACTGAATTGTTAATGGTTTATCAAGGGTATAGATTGGTTTCGGCCTCATTAGTTTATATGTCTATTGGGTCTAGATGTTCCATGGGTAATGGTTTATCATTTCAACAATTTCAACTCATTAGTTCACATGATCCATTGTCTTTAATGATTTGTGGATATGCTTACATATTGTGATGGTATGGGGGGAAGAGGGAGAGAGAGAAAGAGTTAGAGAGAGGGGAGAGACAAGTTGATGGAAATTACAGTAAACCCTTTCAGTCTTCCTTTTGTCAATGGAAATTACATGAAGAAATGGAAAAAAGAACCAGTAAAGAAAAGAGAAATGAAGAGAATCAAACCACACAAATTTTACAATAAACACTGGCATGGGTCCATATTTACATTGGTTAAACATAAAGAATGACATTCAATAATATGGAGGCCATACAAATCTTCCCATCCCCTTATAGATGTAATAGATAAACATATAAATAAAATGTTAGATATCAATATCATGTTAAGTAGTACTAAAGTACTAGAAAACAGCTGGAAACATTGGATGTCTTAGAAAGAATGTAGAGAAAAAAAGGATGGCACTATCGGACAGGATGTTGCAGATTTGTGCTTACCATTCCCGCTATATCAAGGTGTGGGTCAATGTCATATATTAATTTCATATTCGCTTCAACAGAAGAACCAAGTGTAGAAATATCATTGTGGACTATCAAAACATTTGTTTTAAATGGGGGTGAGCAAATGGGTAGGTTCTACCTGGAACCGAATGGAATCGACCTCGAACCAGCATTGAATCGACCCTATCCAATCTATTATATGGTAGGGTTTGGTTCTATTAATAGCAGAATATAGGAGAAGAAAGGAAGAAGAAGAGAAGGGAAAGAGAGGAGAGAAGGGAGAAAAGAAGAGAGTGATTTTGGAGTTAACTTAACTGGCTGGTGGCGCCAACTTATATTAATATATATAGCGCGACCATAATTAAAAGGGAAAGGACCCTTATGCCCCTACTTAAGTTACAATACATAAAACAAAGAAAAATCTACTTTAACTAGTACAAACAGACCCTAACTCAGCAGAATACAAACATAAGAAATAAATTAAACATTCCAACACTCCCCCTCAAGTTGGGACATGGATGTCAATCATGCCCAATTTGTCACACAAATTATTATGCCGCACATGATGAAGGCCCTTGGTGAAGATGTCTACAAGTTGTTCCTCTGAACTGACATATATATGGAGTGCACACTTCTCTGCTCACAAGTTTTTCTCTAATAAAATGCTTGTCTGCTTCAATATGTTTTGTTCTATCATGGAGGATTGGGTTAGCAGCAATATTGATAGTAGCTTTATTGTCACACTAGAGTGACATAGGTTTGTTAACTGCAAAACCTAGCTCTCCTAACAAGTTTTTTATCCACATAATTTCAACAACTCCATGAGACAACTTTGTATTCTGCTTCAACACTAGATCTAGCCACCACACTTTTGTTCTTACTTCTCCTGGTGACTAGGTTTCCCCCCACAAAGGTACAATACCCACTGTTAGATTTTCTATCATCAATTGCCCTTGCCCAATCAACATCTGTATACACCTCCACTTTCAAATGCCCATGTTTCTGGAATAGCAAACCAGCTCCTGGGAACTTCTTGAGGTATCTAAGGATTCTTTCTACAGTTTCAAAGTGAGTTGTCTTAGAGTTATACATGAATTGGCTAAGGACACCCACTGCATAGGCAATATCAGGTTAGGTCATAGACAAATATAAGAGTCTCCCTACAAGTCTTTGGAACTTCTTCACATTTTTCTAACACTCCCCCTAATTGTCTCTTAGCTGATGGTTGGGTTCAATGGGTGAATCAATTGGTTTCACTCCTAATTTACCTGTGTCCTCTAATAGATCTAGTACATATTTCCTTTGGGAAATAAGGATGACCTTGTTAGAGTGTGCAACTTCAATCCCAGGGAAATAACATAAGGAGACTAGATCTCTCACCTCAAATTGAGTGACTAAGAATTTCTTCAGCTTCTGTATTTCAGTCTTCCAATCTCCGGTGACTACTATGTCATCAACATATACAATTAAAGTTGCAATTTTTCCTTCACCTTTCTTCACAAACAGAGTATGATTTGACTGACATTGTTTGAATCCCATCTATTGTACAACTAAATGAAACCTATACTAAACCAAGCCCAAGGTAATTGCTTCAACCCATATAATGATTTTTTAACCTGCACACCTTCTGCTCACTACCTTTGGCACGGAAACCTGGAGGTTGATTCATGTAAATCTCCTCCTCTAAGTCACCATTCAAGAATGCATTTTTAATATCCAACTGGTGAAGTTCCCAGTTAAGATTAGCTGCTAGTGAAAAGAAGATTCTAATCAAATTCATCTTATGGCGGCGAAGAAAGACACGAAATGGAGAAGGATCAGGAAGAGGAGGTAGTTTAACCTATGTGTGTTTCTCCTCAACCCTACTTTCCCCTTGAGGAGAAACCAAGAAAAAAGGTTGACTCTCAAAGAAGGATACATATCCACGAAGACATAGTACTTGTGTGGAGAAGGGTGATAGCAATGGTAACCCTTTTGAGATAACGGATAACCAAGAAAAACATAAGGAGTGGCACGAGGGTCGAGTTTACTACAAGTAGGAGACAAGTCATGAACGAAGCAACAACACCCAAAGACACGCATTGGAATGGGGGACAGTGGATCTGTAGGAAACATAAGTTGATGTGGGGCCTTATACTCTAGTAATAGAGATGGCATATGATTGATGATATATGCAGCACACATAAAAGCATCCATCCAAAAGTGTTTTGGAACATTCATATGAAGTAATAAACCACAAGCTACTTAAAAAAGATGACAATTTTTTCTATCAACAACACTGTTTTGTTGAGGTGTTCTGGTACAAGAGCTTCGATGAAGAGATCCACATGAAGCAAAGAACTCCGTAAGATCACTATGGAAGTATTCTTTTGCATTGTCCGACTAGAAAATGTGAATTTCAGTTTGGAATTGAGTGAAAATCATTCGTTGAAAGTCTTTCACAATCTTTGGCACTTCATCTCTAGATCTTATAGGATAAACCCAAGTATATCTAGAGTAGTCATCAATTAAAGTAATGAAATAGTTATATCCAGACTCAATAGGTAGAGTAACAGGGCCCCAAACATCATAATAGACAATATGAATAGGAAATTCAGATCTTTTATTTCTTAAAGGAAAAGAATTTATACGATGTTTGCTCAATTGACATGTATGACACTACAATTCACTAACTGACAAAGACTAAAATAACTCAAGAAACATAAGTTTTAAAGACTGAAATGGAAGGTGACCAAGACGATTATGCCACAAATAGGCATGACTCTCACTAGATGAACTTAAGGATTCTGTAGCCACAAGACTGGCTTTATTCTCCAACACGTAGAGACCATCCACCATGCTTCCTCTACCAATCGTCTTCCCCGAGGTCAAATCTTGAAACACACACCAATGAGTAATACTGCTAATGGAAAGTAAATATGAACAATTCAAGGAATGAGTAATACTGCTAATGGAAAGTAAATTGATAGGTAATTTAGGAACATGCAACACATTAGAGAGGGTAAGACCAAGAGGAAGGGAGATGGTTCCTTGACCGACTATGGTGGAAAAAGACCCATCAGCCAATCTCACCTTATCTTTCCCAAAGAGGAGGTTATATGCATGAAATAAGTTTGACTTACCAGTCATGTGGTTTGAGGTTCCCGAGTCTATTATCCAAGGGGAATCAGATGTATGACATGACACATGGAAAACAGTGGTAGTGCTACTTGATGTAGATGCAAAGGAGGTAGAAGAAGTAGGGCCAGAATCCATTTGGCAAAGTGTCCTACTATATAATTCCAAGTGGTTATGAAAGGAGTTGATATCTTCCTTGGGGTCAGAACCAGAGTGTCACTCCTGGGGTACCATGGGACTAGTCTCTTGAGATGCTACATTTGCTGAGTTATATTTCTTCTAACTCTTGCTGGGTTAGCTTCTTAATCGGATCAGATTTTTTACTCAATTCCTGAGCCCATTTAGGCTTGCCATGAAGATCCCAACATGTGTCTCTAGTGTGCCTGGACTTTTGACAATGAGTGCACCAAACTTTATCTTTGTCATCCACTCTCTTCTGTGAATCACCCTTTTTAAAAGAACCTCCGACATTTGAACTTGTGCCCACTCGGACAGCTAGTGCAACCAGTTCCCCTTCTGTACAATTCATCACACTTCTGCTCTCTTCAGACTGAACTAAGGCATAAACTTGAATTGAAGGTAAGTTCTTACTTCCTAAGATTTGTACCCTCATGGATTCATATGTACGATTCATCCCCAA